CTTCTTCTTCTTCTTCTTCTTCTTCTTCTTCTTCTTCTTCTTCTTCTTCTTCTTTTTCTTCTTCTCCTCCTCCTCCTTCTCCTCCTCCTCCTTCTCCTCCTCCTCCTTCTCTTCCTTCGTTTCCTCCCCCTCCTCTTCCTCTCCTCCCCCTCCCCATCCCCCTAAAACATCATATTTTTATCATTAAATAAAAAGCTAGAATAGAATATTCTATAAACCCCCATGTCCAAAATTTTTAAGTGCTAGGTTTCATTTTAAATGTTTACACAAAGAGCAGTGGCACAATGTACATCTTGAACACAGAGAATCCTTCATGGCAACTGTAAATTTGTGGCTCCATTCACTTCACTTTTATGGTAACAAGTTTTCTAAAAGAGAAAAAAGTTACACACCAAAAGCCTTCACTCTTTCAAGGATGTTTGGGGTAAAGTCTGGAACAGGACACTGCTTCTCCTGACAGACATTTCTCCATTTTGAGATAGAAATCAAGAGGAAGAACGAAGCTTGCTGTCTTCTCTCTTATGTCTTGTTTAATAGAAAGAGAGATATCAAGAAACAACCCCTTAGAAAAGTAAGTCATTGGAATGTTTCGGAGACTCAAGAATATTTCCCAGCTCAGGGATTACCAATGTCTCTCTATGGGTAACTACATCCTATTAGGCAGGACAGTCCTAGCTACGACTCAACCCCATAGGACAGTGCCCCCTCTTAATCTCAAATGTCTCCCCACAGCAACACCTTCCCCCATTTACTCTTTATTGTTCCTCTTTTGGTTTGGTTTTGGGTCTTGCAACTGCAGCATCAGCTCTCCCAAGAGGCAGATGCAGCTTGAACTAACTGGCGCGGCTGCAGATTGGTGCAGGATCTCAGGGATCTGAAAGAATGCATCCCCTCTTTGCCAAGTCACTTCTGTCATCCTCTCTCTAGGTGTCATTCTGTTTCTGGTCCTCTTTGTCCTCACAGTCTCCCTGGACTGCATACCTGGCTTCCACCTTTATTTGGCAGAACCAGTACAGTCGAGGCCAGACTGGACAGAAGACAAGATAAAAGATGGCTCTTGGGGATGTTTGCTTACCCTACCAAGATTCACAGAGGACTTGGAGAGTCTCAGAGGTTTTGCTGGTTCTCTCCTTCCTTCAACTAAGCTAGTGATACCTCAAGCTAGAAAGAATTTCCCTGTAAATGTTGTCGCCCTTTCCGTTCTGTTTTACTGACGCTTGCAAAAGTGATTTCCTCTGCACTTAACATCACTGTTCCTGTTGCTCTTCAGCTTCCTCACCCAAACGCTTCACACTCTCCAAATCAAGGCTTTCATTGCTTCCTAGTGGAAAGTAGCAGCAACGTCTTATGCTCCTTTTTATGAAATTCTTGTCTATCATTTTTGCCTTTACTAATGTTGAGGATTTTACAAGTCGTATTGATTGACCCACCTGTTCACTCACGGCAGACCATGTCTCTGTCTACTGTCTTCCTTGTTTACTATATGCCCACTGTTACTCCAGAAATGGGAAATGCAAACACACGTATTTCTGCTCCTCTCTTCAATGGGCACACAATCCAAGGAGCACGTTCTGCACTTTTCCAAACTGAGCATAACAACTACATCAGCTGGTAACTTTGTCACTTCGTCATAATTGCCAGAATAAGACAATTCCGTCCTAACTCTTGTATTTCCAGCACTACTGCCTAACATGAGCAATGACTGTTCTTAAAGTCAAATGAATTTTCAAATATTTCTTTCCAGGAAAATACCAAGAACTATGCAAAAATAGAAAACAAAGGTTTAGTTACTCAGAAGCTTTAAACTTACGGATGTAAGGAATGTATACCTGATTTAAGATGGTGATGTGCCCACACCAGGCTTATTTACTTGAAAACATTTTGGTAATTTAGTATTTCTGTTTGATAAATGTGCTTGTGTTTATAAAATTCAAAACTCTACTTAACAAGACTTAGCCATTTACAGTGCAGTCTTTGTGTCTTTTACAAATATACAATTTTATTTCAAACTTGTTATTTTGTATTACAATTCCTAGGAGATATTTGGGAGTTCAAACTGCAAATATGTCCGTTTAAATCAGTCATCATTATCTCCCTTTAACTACTCAATCACTGGTATTTTTAATACTATTCTCTCATAGAAATCTCTTTTTTTAACCAAGTTTTGTGACTGCTATTTAGTTACATATTACTTTCTCTTTCTCTTTTATCTTTTAATGAAAACAAAGCTTTAAACAAACTGTATTTCCAGTTCCCAAGTGTTAACACTCTTGGTCCTTTTCTTTTTATTGTTATTTATATGGATTTATCTAGAGTACCAAAAGAAAGTTATATTAAAAGAACAGTATTAAAGAATGTGCATAAAGCATTATTTTTGTACTTAGAGTACAATGTTTTATAGAGCTATATGATCTAACTATATTAAGTACAATTATATCATTCTGTTATTAGGAAAATGATTATTGTTTTTGGAAAATACAAATATACTGGTCACCTTAGAATCATAAATCAAATGAAATGAGAAATGACACAATTTTGTGAGATTTCAGCATGGTGAGATGGTTTTAATTGAGTTTTCAAGTTCCATAATAAAGTTTTAGAAATTATCAACATGGGTTGCTAATTGTTCTTTTCTGAAAACTAAAGTTTTGTTTGTTTGAGTTTTTGTTTAAAGTAAGCATAAAGTAAGCATGGACATAAGTGCCACATGCCTGCAATGTGCACTTGGTTAGTCCCCAGCACTCTGTGTTTATGTCATTCCCAGCATATCGTCTGGGAATACATGTCATTTTCCAGTCAACAAGAAAGTGAAAGAAATCCAGAAAATTCAGACAGGTTAGTGTTAAGTCAAGATTTGCCTGGGAGTATCTGCTAATCCTTACTGAAAAGGAAAATTTATCAGTAAACACGGTTCCCTGGAAATAAATCCTGTTGGTTGATCCCTCAACTAAAAATTGTTCCTGTTTGTAAAAGAGCTTAGTGAAGAATGTTTTGTTTTTGTTGTTTGTTTTATAAAAAATTTTAAAAGGTGTTTAGGAAAAAAGATTTAAAAATCAAGACTTTGTGACTATTCAGTGATACATAGATAATAAAGCCTAAAGTTTTTCCTTTTGGTGTTGAGACAATTGGCATCCCCTTTCAGGGCTTTTAATCTCCTCAATAAGAGTCTAGAACTGGACTCAAAGGGAGTGGGGCTCAGCGACAGTTATATTAGAGTTAAAGAGAAGCAACATCCCAGGCAAGCTGTCACTCTTACCAGGTGTCGGGAGCAAGAAAAAGAAGAAAGAGAAGGAAACATCATGTGTTTTGAGTTAGTCCAAGAAAATGGGCACATCATCAACAGAGGTCCATATGCAGCCACATAGCCAAAGAAGAGGGGGCTGCAGAGAAAGCTGAAGAGTGCCACCAGAAATATGAGTAAGATTTGGGGCAGCATCTGAAAGAAAATGAGAGAGAAAAGAGAAAAGTTATATTTTTCTAAGGTCTCAGAAAACTGGATAGGCTCCATGGTGCTCCCTTGATAGTGCTCCCTGATGGAAGGACTGACTGAAAGTGTCTGCAAGAAGGGAGGGGCTGTGGAAAGGATAGTACATGCATTATCTCATCAAGGGGATGATTGGTCCTCCCCTCTACTTTGCATGTCTCAGATAAAGCAGTTTTCCTAGGGGTGGACTCCTGTTCATGGATTAATAGACACAGCTAGATTAAGTGTTTAAAAGGAGAGGACAGTAGTTAGGAATTTGAGTAGCTGAGAATGTCAGGTCTTCCCTGAGCCAGAGATAACACTTGAATTCTCTTTTTGACTAGACAGAAGTAGTTTTGCCCTGATGGGCCCCAACCAAGTCCAGATACCTCCACCTTTTCATAACATAATTGAAATCCTAAGAAGGGAATTCCCTTTCTAATGTTACAGGGGAAGAGAAGGTAAAAGCCAAAGTTGACTCCCCAAAACTGGGCTTTCCACAATGGCATTCAAGTTCTGTCATGCCTCTCTGCCTTTCTAACCCCCCTCAAAAGCTGAGAACCTAAAATCACTTAGAGATTGGGAGGCAGGGAATGTGGGATATACAAAATTCATTCCAATCACAAAAATTCAGAGATCCAGTTGCAAAGCTGCTCATTGGAATGAATTAGCATCAGGACTGGAGTGTGAGTCCTAGGCCCATGTAGATAGTTTCCAGACGAGGCTAATCACTTAAAACAAGAGAAGTAAGGAACCGTAGCTCCCTCCGCCGCTCCAGGTAGAACCAAGGACATTTTCAGCTACTAGCCAAGGACAAGAAGGGGACTGTATTCCTTGGGTTCCTGCTCTAAGCTTCTTGACCAGTTTCTTTTTCACAGTCTCAAC